AATGCTTGTGTGCATGTGTGTGTGTGTGTGTGTGTGCATGTGTGTGTGTGTGTGTGTGTGCATGTGTTCATGTGCGTGTGCATGTGTACATTCAGATGCACACGTGTGTGCTTTCGTGTGGAAGCAGAGTCCAGCCTCAGGTGTCACTCCTCTGCCACCCGCCTTGGCTTTGGAAACAGAGCGGCTCACTGCTCCGGAGCTCACTGGTCAAGCTGGACTGGCAGCCAGCGAGCCCCTCCCTCGTCTCCAGTGCTGGGCTCCTGAGCCCGGCCACCTCAGTGGCTTCTGCACAGCCTGGGGACCGAACTCAGGTCTGGAGCCCGTGCAGCCAGTGTTTTACCGGTGGAGCTGTCTTCCCAGCTTGAAGTTTTGCTAGTTTTGACCCCCCGTGAGGTGGGAGGCCTCGCACATTTTTATTAGCTTGTCTTTCGGGGCAGAAGGCAGGCCTGCAGCTCGGGCTTGCTGCGGCTCTGTCTGTCGCTACGACACACTGTGTCACAGTCTCTGGAGCAGCTGTCACTGCTGCAGCACACCTTCCGCTTCCGGAATGGAGCGTCTGACCAGACCTCAACCGTCCAGGGGGGTGACAGGGGCGACATGTGCCTGCAGGCCTGACGTGGAGCTTTGGTGTGGCTAAGATGGCATGAAGATGCCCGCCACCAATGCTCCCCCAGCCCTTCTGGCCAGCCAGGCCTGACTGCCTGGCCAACACACTCTTTTCCAGCTGGCACGGGGCTCCTGGAGCAGAGCTTTCCCGAGAAAAGGCTGACTGCCTCCTTCTACCTCTTCTCTCCAGACACAGGCCTCAAAGTCCAGGCTTGCCCCACATTCCAGCCTCCAGACACGTGCTGTCTCTCTGTCTCCCTGCCTCTCTGTCCCTCTGTGTCTCTCTGTCCATCTGTCCCTCTGTGTCTCTCTGTCCATCTGTCTCTCTCTCTGTCTCTCTGCCTTCCTGTCTCCTTCTCCCCATCTCCTGCTCCAGTCAGCAGCTCCAGGTTTGCACTGCAGCTGAGCCTGCCTTCTCTCCTGATCTCTAACCGAAGAGGAATGGCTCTCTCTTCCTCTTCTCCACCCCCCTCCTCCCTGCAGCTGCCAGGATTTACAGTGCCTGTCATGTTGTGTTTTCCTCTCGAAATCCAATTAAACAACAACCACAACCCCTGCCCATCCCCCCCAAAAAAAAGAAAAAGAAAGAAAAAAGGAAAGTAACAGGACAATCCCTTTGAGCTGCACAAAGATCAAAGGTGTTTGCTGCACGTAGGGCAAAGTTCAGCTCCTCGGTGGGGCCTGCGGCTCAGACGGCTGGCACGCATAGTCTGACTGGGAAGGTGGGACACCCGAGGCCTGGGGAGGGTGTGCCCACTCGAGGCTGCGGGTTCCTGTGCAGGGCTGTGGATCTGCTGCCCCAAATCCTTCCTTACTGTTGAAAGGGAGAGTGGGAATGCAGGGGTGATTTGCAAACCTCCCTTGACAGTCCACAGTCCAGTTGGGGCTCTGTCCTCGCTCCTGTCACCCCCACGTTCTGCAAGGGCGCAGCCAGAAATAATTGCACCTTCCAGAAAGCTCTCACCACGGATGTCCGGCTTGCTGTGCGAGGGCTTCCCCTCTTGTTTCCTGTTTCCTGTCTCAGCTGTCTGGTGAGATGCTGCCACCTGTAGCTCTGTGTTTCACCCCGGGGAAGGGGGCGGGGATGATGGGTCAGAGGTGAGAAGGGCTGGTGGACCCTTTAAATGCCGGGGCACTGCCATTGCTGACATTTATGTCTTGCTTAAAGATTTCATTTTGTCTTTAAAAAAATCTTACTGCCGTCAGAGGTCACAGACTGGCTACTGTCCATTCCATCATTAGTAGACCTTGCGGGACCACTCTTCTGAAAACAACCAAAGACTTGTTCTGTCGTTGGATAAGCTAATTAACCAAGAGAGGACAAGAGTTCACGTTTTTCTGTGAAAGCTGCCAACTTTGAAAAAGTGTCAAGGAAATTGGTTGTTTTCTAGACAGCCGCCTGCATTGGGCCCGGGCCTCCTCAGCTCGCTTTGGTCTTGCAGTCTTGGACCAGCTGTCCTAGGTGATGGCTTGGGTGGCGACAGCCATACAGCTGCTGTTTCAGGTCAGCGTCTGCGCACACTCCACATGCATATGAGAAACCCAAGAGGGGGTGAAGGCCTCACAGACCCACCTCCATCTTCCTCCAAATGTGACATGCTTTCACCGGGGCCGTGCTGGCAAAGGCTCGTAGACAGCCACTGACAGAACATGCTGACAGAACAAGCACCTGCAGAGGGTATTTGCTTGTTTATTTGAGAGCGTGGGGTGGAAGGATTGACCCTTTGACCTAACCTTTAACCCCCCGGCTCAGGAATCCTCTGGCCTCAGCCTTCCGAGTAGCTGGGATTCTAGTGTTCACACACATTTATGTTAATTCAGTTCTGAGGTAAGGCCTCAGGTGTGCCAGGCTGCTGCTATTGTTCAGTTCAAGGCTGACCTTGAGCTCCAGGTATGTGCTGATATGCACGGTTTATAAAACCAGGTCTTACGCACACACTCTGTGGACACGCTACTCACCCAGCTATGCCACCCCCAAAGGGTTTCAAAAACGGAGCGTCAGTGAAACTTCCCCTTTTTAATAGACTCGCTGGCCCCTGCATCGTTAAGGTTTAGGGACGTAGTAAGGGCGTAGCCACCGGAGAGTTTGGGGTTCAGAAACACCACCTCTGGCGCGCGACCCGGCCCCAACCTTCCTTTCCTAATTGAGATGGCGACGTGGGGACCGCTAGGACCTAGCTAGGTGAAGCTGTGTGAGGCCCGCAGCTCACAGTGTCGGCAGAGCAGACTACCTTCAGGGCTTGTCAATCATCCCTTCTGGCCTAGACGGGCTGGGGGCGGGGTCTAGAAATGCTGGCGCTTAATCCTGCGCTAACCTGTAAGGGCCTTCCTGTGGGGAGAGACTGGGAGTGGGGGTGGGGGTGGGGGCGTTTCCTGCTACCTGACAAGTGAGCACTCCTCTAGCTGTGAGTGGCGGCGGCAGGTGAGTGCTAAGATATCAAATGGATATAATTTGCGAGGCCTCTTCGGGATCTGAAACTAATGAGAGTTAAGTGTTAAAACTCTGAGGCAGAGGCAGGTGGATCTCTTTGAGTTCGAGGAGGAGGAGGAGGAGTAATTAAAACTTTGAAAAGAGCAACAGCTTAAGTCTCCATCACTTAAAAACGTATTTGATGGGATGTAGAAAACAAATCAATTAATTTAAAACGCCGTATTTTACTAGGAAGGAGCTCTGAGAAACTGCAGATTGCTCGCTTTCATGGACCCACAGGCCCGGCCGCTGCAGTTCTCAATGCAGCCTCTGGGAGGCGCAAGACGCCGGCCTCTCGCCGGGCCCTTGACGTTGGCAAAGACGCAGCCTCCCCGCGCAGCAGGGAGACGTCCTTCAGGCCAACGCTAACACTTTCCAACGCACGTTTTCACCACCCACCTGGAGACCGCTGCCGTGGCGAGGAGGAGTCAGTCCACCGCGCGCGTGTGATCCTTGCCTGGCCGGCCGGTGTCCGCCCTCTGCCCTAGCCAGTCCCCCAGGCTCACACTCACACTTGCCCGTGGAGCGCGGAGGGACACAGCCGCCCACGGCGTCGTGCTGTGCGCGTGAGCAGTCTGTAAGCCCGGTGTGCAGGTCTCCCGGGACAAACGACGAGTTCAGAAGATCTCCCCAGTCGTCCTCGGTCGTGCCGCGCTCTCAGAAAAGAGTCTTCTGAAGAAACCTTTTAAAGTAGCTGAAGCATGTCACAGTCTCATCAGACAGACTCTCGGTCCAGCAGTCCTGGTGTCGGGCTCTCCAGCCCGGGGGCGCTGGGCGCAGGCGCTCACCCCGCTTCTACCTGATGCGCACCCTGCAGTGTCCTGGATGCCTGGGGTGCCCCAGGCCAAGATCCCGTGGGCGGCCGCCGCCAGGCTGTTGGGGTGGGAGGCTGGGGCGGTCTGGGTTTTCCCGCGTCGGCCTGCAGGCGGCGCCCTGGGAAAAGCGTTGCGGGACAGCGTGTGCCGAGGCCCCGGAGGCTGAACCCCGGAACCCCAGGGCTTCGGGTGCAGCAGCCCTGTGGGCTCCGGGGCTCCCTCCCGGCCTCGGCACGCGTGCATCCGAATTCCAGCAGCCAGGACAAGCCTGAGGGGTGCGCGCCCGGGGGCCCCGACCCCCACGCGCCGCGGCGGCGCTCTGCCCACCCCACCGGCGGCAGGTGGACAGTGTTGCTATGAAAGAGAAAGCGCCGATTGTCCCCTCGGCGAACCGCCACACGCCAGACCTCCTCTTTTGTGGGCCTCGCATAGAAATGCAAACGAGCCGCGTGTGCCGGCAGCAATCTGCTGGTCCCCGCCGCCCGCGCCCCGCAGCGGCCCGCCAGGGGCGGGGGCGGGGGACGGGAGGGGTTAGACCCTGCAGCCGCGACCCCCGAAGGACGCTGCACCCTCAGCCCCGGCGGCAGCCTCGGCCTGGGGTCGGCTGCAGTTGCAAACCCGCAGTTGACTTTGAAAGTTTCGGTTTCAATGCAACAGCCCCATAAACTTCCAATTGAAAATAATAAGAAAAAAAAATCAGAAAGGTTGCAAAATATATAATAAATGCAAAAAAAAAAAAAAAGGCTTTTCCGTTCTCCAAGTGTGCATTTTTACAAATTCCAGGATCCTCTTAGCAAACAACGTTGTGTGTGTGTGTGTGTGGTTTTTTTTTTTTAACTTTTCCCTTTTAAGGACTTACAAAAAAGGAAAGGCGAGGCTGAAATCTGCAGGCTCCAGTCTGCCCGGTAACACCCTGACAAAAGCGGCAGATTTGAGGCTGTGTCATCCCCCGCACCCCTCCCCACGTGGCCTCCTGGCACGAGCCGCGGGCCTGCCGCCTCATTTGCATGAGAAAGCGGGCGCCGGCCAATGGGCGCGCGGCCTCCCGCCAGCTGGCGGCGGCGCGCGCGGCCGCTCTATAAAGGGCCTCGCGCGGCGGCGCCCGGCGCACTCGCTGCTGCTGGGCGCGCGCGTCGGCTCCCGGGCTTCGCTCCCCGCGCTCGGCTCCCCTCCGCGCCCTCCGCTCCCCGATTACTTGCTGTTCGTGCATCGCACGATGACTCTGGAAGAGGTCCGCGGCCAGGATACAGTTCCGGAGAGCACAGCCAGGTGGGTTTCGGGGCGCCGAGAGCTGGGCTTGTGGGGCGATGTTTCCGGACGGAAGTTTGCGGGGTGGGAGCCGGGCACCGTGTGGCAGCGAGGTGCCGAGGCGGTGGGGACCAGGGTTACTACGTTTGATTCAAGCGTAGAGGTGGTGTCTGGGGAGCCGGGACCTGGCCGGGACCCGGGAGCCCGGAAGCCGGGCGCCAGCTCAGGAGTTAGGGAACCGGTGGTGCCGGCGCCAGGTCGAGACTGGGTGATGGGGAACGAGGGCGCCAGATCATGACTAGGGTGCCAGGGCTGTGGGCGCCAGGTCGGGAGCGGGTATCCGGGCGTGCGGGCGCCGGCTTGGGCTTGGGAGCAGGAATGCTGGCGCCAGGCAGGTCTGGGCTGGGGAGCCAGCTGGGACCTGGGGGTCAGGCGGCGGGGACCGCCGCGTCCCGGTGCTGGCGGGCCCCGCTCACGGCGCTCGTTCCCTCACAGGATGCAGGGCGCCGGGAAAGCGCTGCACGAGCTGCTGCTGTCGGCGCAGCGCCAGGGCTGTCTGACCGCTGGCGTCTACGAGTCCGCCAAAGTCCTCAACGTGTGAGTACCGCCGGGCGTGCAGGGCTCGGGCGCGGCGGGGAGAGCCGGGGGCGGCGGCGGCGCTGACCTTGGCCTTCCCCGTCTGCCCTGCAGGGACCCTGACAACGTGACCTTTTGCGTGCTGGCCGCCGACGAGGAGGATGAGGGCGACATAGCCTTGCAGATCCACTTCACGCTGATCCAGGCGTTCTGCTGCGAGAACGACATCGACATCGTGCGCGTGGGGGACGTGCAGCGCCTGGCTGCCATCGTCGGCGCCGGCGACGAGGCGGGCGCGCCGGGGGACCTGCATTGCATCCTCATTTCGGTGGGTGCTGCTTCTCCGCGACACGTCCCCTCCCCCACCCCCCGCAAACCTTTCTGGCCGACGACGAGCATGGCTGACCCCTGTATTTTTTTTTCTTCAATCTAGAACCCTAATGAGGACACGTGGAAGGACCCTGCCCTGGAGAAACTCAGCTTGTTCTGCGAGGAGAGCCGCAGCTTCAACGACTGGGTGCCCAGCATCACCCTTCCCGAGTGACAGCCCTGCGGGACGTTGGTCTGATCGACTTGGTGACGCTCCAGCGCTCTGCTGGCTCTGGAGCGGCCCTCCGAGGGCGCTCGAGTGCGCATGGAGACTGGCAGGCGGTGTTGCCTGGAAAGCGAGGAGCGCGGCCTCCCAAGAAGGGGGCCTGGAGGCGGCGGGGACCCCTTGTTCCGAGCTCAGGACTCTGCCAGGGTCCGGAGAGGCTGCTCGCGCAGGAAGGCCTAGGCCGGGACGGTGGCCGCAGGGCCGGGAAGAGCCGCCTGGCGAGGCAGGTGTGACTCAGCAGCCTTCCCGTGAAAGGAGGGGAAAGGCAGCGCAGGCGGCCTGGACTTGGACAGCTGCAGGGGCGGCCAGCTGCAGGAGCGAGCCGGACTTCAGCAGGCTGCACTGCTGTGTGGAAACGGATCCCGGGCAATGCTTTCATTTTCCAAAGGACGCTATCGTGGAAGCTTTGAATTTCACAATAAACTTATTGAAACAAACTTCTGCCTTTTTTTGAGGGTAGGGGATTCCTGTCTCCGGGGGAGGTGGCGAAGGGTGTTTCTGGTGGTTGATGGAGCATATGCAACCTGTGGCCGACCACCTTTCTGTGGAGCCAGAGACTGCAGCGTCCTGGCGCTGGCGGAGGGGGAGGGGATGCTGGCGAGCAGTAAGGGAGAGAACTTAGGCCTGAGAACTGTTTTGTCCTTTCAGGAAGATTCTAAACTCGCAAGACAGGAGCATACTTGAGATAAGTGTGCCGGAGCTCCGGGCTTGCAGTCCCATCCGATAACAGTGACTTCTGCTTCCAGTACCTCCCCGCCCCCTCGGCCCCTCCCCCGCCGCGGCCTCCGACAGCTGCTTATCTGAACAGCTTGCGGGAGGCCCCGAGCCCTCCCATACAATGAGCTTGCCTTCTGCAGCTCTGCCTTGGTGGCGTCTGTGGATTGGGGGTGGGTTGCTCTTGCTTTCAGGAACTTTCTCCTTTTAATTGCTCTGACAAAGCAGCGCCACTAATATCAAACATGACACCAGTGACTGCGTTTAAAGTATGAATCATCATTTTGTCACAGCCGTGATGGAAGTTACAGTATCTAGCAGAAATTGGAAGGCACCGTCTGTATAAAGAGGGCGAGAGCCAGTGTGAGTGGGGTGAGCATCTGCCAGTTCCTATTCTGAGTGCTGCCCACGTCGGTGCGGCTGCTGCTGTCCACAATTCCTTTTAAAGTCGGAGGACAAACGCTTGGGAGCCAAGATTATCTTTTGAGAAGGAACGGGGGCGGGGAGGGGGGAATGGCCCAGTGAGAGGACTTTTTCTGTTAGCCTGGGGCTTTCTCTGAGCCAGGCAGGAGGTGCAGCCTGGCCTGTGGGGGAAGCTGTGTGGGGCTTTCTTGCCTCAGCTCTGCTGCCCGGCAGCTTGTGGGCCTTCGGGGAAGGGAGGGGCGGGGTGCCGTTTTTTTCTAAGAAGGCCATTGGGCTGATTTACCAGCAGTGCTTAGGGAGGCTGGGTTGTCCGTTGAGTGCTACTTTTAAAACGCCACTCCACATTCTGGAAGCCTGCACAAGGCAACAGGAAAACTGCAGGAACGCAAGGACAGTTCCTGTAAGGAAAGCTTGCCCATTCTGCTCCAAACCGCCTGCAGGGAGACTTCCGTTCCCCTTGTACCCAAATATCGCTGCCACGCTTAGGCGTTTCTCTCTGTTTGCTTAGGTGGGGGAGCAGAGCTGCACGCTGAATAATGACCTCTCGCCGTAGTGCGCTGTAGCAAAAACAAAGAGGGTGAAACTACTCCAGAACCATGTGGCCTGAAATGCGTGAACCCAGCAGAGCGCTGCAGGCCAGCCGACCCTTGCAGAACATTTGAGTTAGCAACCGGTAGAAAACTTGGCTTTCTCTGATTGGCCCTTCTTTGTGGCCACCTGTTAGGGTTTTAGGAGACAAGAATTTTTCAGGGGAGGGGCTGGGCGGATAGGAAATCAGGTTTGAATGTCTAGTGGGTGGGAGGGAATGGGGGTGGCCAAGGTTTGTGCTGAATTCTTTCATTTTTCTTTATATATGTAAGTTAATATTATTATAATGAACTAACCGATAGGGCAGGAAACGATTGTAGGGTGTGTAGTTATTTAGGCAGGGTCCTGGACTCAAACTCACCGTGTACCTCAGGGTAACCTTGAACCTCTCTCTGATCCTGCCGCCTTCAGCTCCAAAGTGCTGGAATTACAAGTGTGGGCTGGGGGTGAGACCCAGGCAAGCACTCTACCACCTAAACCACACCCCCGTCCCTCAAGTGCGTGGTGTTTGTAAACACATTGCATTCCGTGCTTGCGGTGACCATTGTTGAATATGCATGGATAAACCCTGGGTACATGCTAAGTGTGACATACACGTCCAGGGGAGGAACACAACTGTGGAGTCTAGAGAGCACTGAACTAGTGTTTATGACTTAAAAGCCAAGGCCCTGGCAGCTTGTAAGCTGCAGGCTGATTTTGGAAAGACACCTGTTTTGGGGATGGAAGTGTCTGAGTTTATAAAAGTTGCAACTCCATTTGGAGAAAACTTGCACAATGTAAAAACTACGTGAGAGACCTTGTAGCCCAGCACAGACATATTGGGTTACCCTCTGTGATCTGCATCTTGTGGACACACAAGTGCACTGTATCTGCTTTTGCTACTTCCTCCTTCCTGTGGGCGGCCTCTTGCAGACCCCTTGTAGGGTGTGCCTTTGAGACTCCAGTCAGCACATGGGCGAAGATGCATGACCCAGCTGTGAGTCCTCTTTTACCTGTTGGTAGTCTTTGCCAAACAAGACAGATACCTGGAGCTGGGGAGATGGCCCTGTAAATGAAGCGCTGTAGACAAAGAGTTTGAGGCCCACAAGCCAGGTTAAAATGTCTGCACATGGTGCTACGGGCTTCTACTGCCAGCGCTGGGTAGGCAGAAGCAGAGGCTCCCTGAGTTTGGCTGCTCAGCCAGCCTAGCCGCTGATGAAATACAGGCCAGTGAGAGACCCTGGCTCAAAAAGAGAAGAAGACTGGGGCTGGACAGATGGCCTAGCGGTTAGCAGTGTCTACTCAGGTAGCTTCTGATTGCCTGGAGCTCCAGCTGCAGGGGCCTGATGCAGGGTTCTAAATGTCCAGTGTCTAAAGCAAACCACTCAGCTGCAGGAAAGTCAACCATGTTGGTCGTTTATTGCAGAACATGTTTTAATATTAGATGATTGTTGGAAAATTTGCTCTGGCACACTGCCCAAAGATGAGGTGGATACAGAACTGGCCACTGGACCTTTGAGACAGCAGAGCAGGGAGAGTGAGTGCCAGCAAGCCTGAGTCTGAGCCCCAGGACCCACATGGCAGAAGGAGAGAGCAGACTTCTCCCCATAGGCACACACACAAGATAAATAAATTAGAAGAAGAAGAAGAAGAAGAAGAAGAAGAAGAGAAGAAGAAGAAGAAGAAGAAGGGGAAGAAAACAATTGAAAATAAAACAGACCTGGGAGTTTCTGGGAGGGCAAGGCAGCCTTGTCCACAGGGAGCAATTTCTGCTCAGGGAGCCAGTGCCTCCTTCTTAGGAAGATGGCAGACAGAAGGATCACAGCCATTCACTGTAATTCTGAAGGCTTTAATTCTGGCACTATGCACGTTAGTAAAACATTCACCCTAGTGGCTCAGTGTGTATTGCTACTGGTGGTTCCAAAGAGCCAGCTGAGAAACAAAACAAAACAAAACGAAACCAAACCTGAATTTTCCAGATGAAGAGCAAGGCCATTGACAAACCGAGTGAGGCTAGGGGGAGGGCAACTCAGAGACTATATGTTTTAAAATTATTTATTTATTTTCTCAAAAAAATATTTTGGGGGTTTTCCATTGGTTTTCTAGGGCATCAGCTCCCTGAAGTTTTCACCTGGGTATGCAGCTATGCTGACAGGATAGAAGACACTGAAATAAGGGAGATTCTCGTGATAGCAGACTACTGAAACATCAGACCCAAAAGAAGTAAAATTTCCCCAAGAATTCCCTGTTGGGGGAGGGGAAGGCTGAAGGCCTAATGCCAGAGAAGGAACTTGCCTCCCAGGAAAAGATCTCAGACAGTTCTGATAACTTATCAGACCACTTTGTAGGACAGACTGGAGCCTAGACGTGGGCCCATGATAGGGGGACCTCACCCAGGTCAGGGATGCTTAGCTATGCATACTTTAGGCCTCTATGGACTCTAAATCTCACATCGAGACCCCCAAAATGCACAATGGGGGGGGGTCACTGGACCTCTTTATTTGTTTCTCTCTCTGAGGTGGCCACATTGAATAAAATTTTCTTTCTCTGTTTTCTGCTACCATTTGACTTAAACAGTGATCTGAAGCTAGGTGGCCGAGCCCAGCTTGTTGGGGTTACTGAGGGTGGGGGTGAGAGTGATGGGGGCGGGGCCCAGCGGCAGCTTCTGACTCTATCCGCTCCAGTAACAGGCCACCTAGCATGGCCCAAAGGAAATGGGCCTTCCACAGGCCTCACGGGAGCTTTATGTCTTGACTGGGACCAGCGAAGCGTGATTTCAAATGGCAAGCCTCAGCTGTGTGCAGTTGGGAGCGTGGCTGGGCTGGCTGCAGAGACAGCAGAGAGAGACAGCAGAGACAGCGGCTGTGAGGGGCTGGCAATGCTATCAAGGCTTTGGTTTCTGACTTAGAGCAAATTTACGTTTGGCCTCTGGAACTTGCCCTGCTTTTAAGCTGAATTCAAGCCTTTCTTTGTCTTCTAAGACTTGCCAAATGATTTCACCTCTCTCGGTTCTCCAGGAAAGGGTGAAGGCGACCCAGAGGAGTGTGAGTTCTAGGAGGAGGTTGGCCACTCTTTGGGCACCTGGCATCCAGCCAACCTGGGCAGCAGAGTTTAAAATGATTTCTTTTTCCTACTTGCAGCATCTGGGCTTTGATGGATGCCGCTGGCCTTTCTTTAGCTCAGGGTTGGGAGGGTGTGGTCTTTCCTTCAGTCCCTAGCCAGGCTGGAGCGTGCACAGAGAGCGTATCGGTGCGAGGGGGCAGGCTTCAGCATCCACTGCCCACCTGTCCCTCACTGATCTCACTTGCAGGCACCAGGCTGAAGGCAGTAAGAAGTGTGAGAGCCTCAGGGTGACCTTTCCCCCCACACAGTTGCAAACCGTGTGAGATTCCTGCAGGTCACTGAAAAGTATGTCACCGCATTCCTGTCATTTTAGTGTCCTGTGCACCATCTTCCATTTATCTCTGCTCTCTGATTTCTCTGCAGTCCAGCCCTTCCCAGAATGTGGCCGTGTGCTTTCCCAGGAGCGGATATTTCCCTCCCTTTCAATCCCTCTCCCTCCCTCCTTCTCTTTCCTCTAGCTTAGCACCCTCCCCCCTCCTGCTGGGTGCCAGGCTCCTGTGTAGTGCATTTCTTCTGCCATGGCTGCTGCTGCTCTGAGCTAGTCTGGCCCTGGGCATCTCTCCGGCAGAGGCTGCCAGCCTGCCCCTGCCTAGAGACCTCCCAGCCTCAT